CTCAGCATGATTTTACAAGTGCATTATTCTCTGTGTGTTAGGAAGGGGTTGGGAAGCATGTGGCCCAGAGATATCTGGGCATCTGGCTATCTGGAGGACAGTGACGTTTAGAGGAACTCTGGATGCGTTTTTCCGGGTGGCATTTATATACTATTTTACAATAGCCCTCAACATGGTTTTACAAGGGTATTATTCTCTCTGTGTTAGGAAGGGGTTCGGAAGCATGTGGCCCAGAGATATCTGGGCATCTGGAGGACAGTGACGTCTAGGGGAACTCTGGAAGGGCTATTCTGAGCAGGCAGCATTTTTATGCTGTTTTACAATAGCCGTCAGCATGGTTTTACAAGAGTGCATTATTAACCTATGCCTGGGAAAGGAAAAAAGACCTTGCATTCACTTCCTAGCTGAATCTGAGGACATCTGTATTTTTGACCACAAATATGTACATGGTGTAAGAGGCTGCTCACGTAGCCTTTTCTTTTAAATTTTGTATTTGTGAACAAGGTCTTACTATGTCTTGGCTGGCCTTGATCTTTAAGATTTATCTGTCTCTGCTGGGATTAGAGAGACTCAGGCTACCACATCCAGCTCACATTAGCTTTCTGAGTTCCTAAATATGAATTAAAAAAAAGAAACCTAAAAAGTGAATAGATAAATGAAAATTCTGCTTGAAATTCCAAAAGCCAAGATGGGAGAATTGTAAGGTTGAGGTTAGCCTGAACTATAATGAATTTGAGGCTGGTCTGGGGTACCCTGTCTTAAGAAAAGAATTAAAAAGAAGGAAAAATCTATATACCATGAGTTAGATTTACAGGGAAGGGGAGGAGGAGGTGGCTAGGTAAGCCTCTGGTCTGGAAAGCTGGCAGTTCTCCATCCTGCAAGAGAGCCACATTGTAACACTCAAGAGAGAAAGTACTCTTTCTCAAATGTGCATCTGCTCCTCTGTTTTCCTTCACAGACACCATAGAGCCTTCACATATCCTTTTTGAGCAGGGCTACATACTAGCATTGCCCAGAGAGAGAAACAGTTTCCATCTAAACATTAGCATAGGGTTGGCTTCTTCCAGAATCTCTCCCATTGCTTTGGAACAATAAATATTTAAAAAGTTAGGTTCTGAGCTTCAGAGAAGCTGACACAAACATTTAAACACATGGATTCTTTTTTTAATTGTGGCTAAACCCCCCAACTCTCTGTAGAGATTCGTTTACAGCAGTCTTTGCTGCCCCCCGTTACCCCATCTTTCATTTTCCCCCTTCTTTTAGGAAGCCAGAAGGACAAACATGTTGCCATAGAGTTCTGTTTAAAATAAAATAAAATACAACAGAAAGACAAGCCCAGCAATGAAGTAACCACATGGACTGCAGTATACACCTGATACTAATTACTGTCATGAAGAATGTTCTGGAAGATATTTGACTCGCCTGATGTATACATTCAAATCAAGCAAAGCAAGACTGGAAGGCTCTCTGGGGATTCTCCTGTCCAACTCTTTCCCTTTTTCCAGATGAGGAAATAGGGGCCCAGATTGGGGAAGGGCCTGGACCTTGGCCTTACAGCCAGGAGGGAACAGAGCTGAGATTCCAACCATGGCCCTTTCGTCAGAAATACATAGCTTCCAGAGTCTGTTACCTTGGCCTGTCAGTAAAGGCTTTGAAGCAGAGGGATACGGTTTGCTGCCAGGAACAGGCTTAGGAATGAGGGCCCCAGGAAAAAATGCAGAGGCTGACTTTGCTGTGGAGGCCCTCCTTCCCTCAAGGACACAGGGCCTGGAGCACAGAAAATGGCCGTTGGGTATCTGAGGGTCCTGTCAGTGCTCGCCAGCGGCTTGCAACAGGCTCCAGCTCCTTTTCTTTTGGGGGCTGCAATGCTGACAGCCTTCAGGGACCCCTAGTACATGGCTACTGATGCTCTCTAGTGGCCGTCGCAATCCCACGCGTGGGCCACGAACATGAGCCTCCATGACAACGCGCACCCCTTTCCTCTGCCTCCAGAGGCTAGCAACTGGGCCTTCTGGTGTCTGATTGGTCACAGGGGCTTGACAACAGGGTCTCCTTGCTGATGATTGGCCCCAGCCAGCTCTGGCTGTTTCCTAGCTATCAGTACTGTGGGTTAATAAATGTCTCCTGTTGACTAGGGTGCTGGGAGCCATGTTTTTTGCCGCATTGATGACGTCTGTGGCTGGTGAAGGCCTTTCTAGCTTGTCAGGGGCCTTTTTTGGGGGGTCTGCTTGCAAAAATGGGGTGTTTTCTTTCTCTCCCAGTATCTGACACATTCAGATAGCTCTTTGTGAAGCCCCCAAAGCCCCAAACCTCCATTTTCACCCTCCGTAGTGCCTCGGCTGCGACATTAACAACGCCCCCACCCCTGAAAAGGCCTGAGTCATCTCACCGCAGAGCTGAGGCTCGGTAACCCTGGGCTCAGCGGTGGCTTTTCTCAGTGCCTCTCGGCCCCAAGACCCGAGTTACAGTGGCATCCTAGGATTGCTGGCCATAAGGGGCTTACGTGAAAGCAGCTGCAGAGCCGTAAATAAGGCCGGGGGCGGGGGGGCTCTTCCAACTTCGTGTCCTCCATGGAGCCTCTGATTTTCCTTTTAGGGTCTCAGTCATTCTCGATCCTTTTCTGTCACCAGACGCTTCTTCTTTGGACTCACAGTTGCCACCCACCTGTCACCCTAAGATAGATCCTTCGTCCCTTTCAACAGCATTTTGACCTTTTCCAGGGGACATTTGATTGACGTGTTGCCCACTTTGCCACTTTAGGGTAGGGCAGAGCAGCCGGAGGTACCACCTGTTAAGGATTAGCTCTCCTGTGCCAAGTCTCAGAGCGTACGCAGCCAGCAGCTATGCGCCATAGCAACATGTGTCACTGTCTGTCTGCTTGGGCTGCGGAGGGGGGGGGGCACCTTTCAAAGTGCGGGGAATCAACCCGATTTGGGGGTGTACGCTAAGCATTATCACACAGGACCCTATTTTCACTAATGAAGTCCTTTTCTAAGGGGGGCACAGTTGCGTCTATATTCACAGTAGACTCCGGGTTGCTGGGTACCCCCTTAACGGGCAGAAATGGATCCTCGGAAAAGGAATGAATAGCGTAAGGTTTTTGGTGCACAGGTTGTATCTTCCGTAAAGCCCGGGACTCAAAATCAAGGTCCTTTTGATTCAAATATGCCCGATTTCTTGCATTAAGATAGTGCGTCAGAATCGGGGTACTCTATGTGTGTGGGGGGGGTGACAGCCTCGGTCTAACGTTTGGGAATCAATCATTTTTTTATCTGGGTTTTTTTTTTTAATTTTCCAGTGCAATTAGGAAAAAACAACGTTCTCCTTTCCTAAGCCCGAGCCTCTGACTGATGTTCTGAAAAACCCAGGCAAGCCATCTGCCGATCCCCGGTACCCCACCTTTATCCTTGGCTGCCTGAGAACAATCACTAGTTGGGGTTATTTCTCCCCAGATTGTGTCTACAAATCGCCCTTCTATCCACAATTAAGGCTCATGTAGGGAAAAATCATCAGCGACCATAGGGTGTTGGTCATGGCGGCCAGGGGCACTGCGGCAGATTTTTTTTTCCTTCGTTCTTTGCTGCAGTCTGGGTGCGGCTACAGCAATTTGTCATAGAATCCGGGGGGCTCATTTTTCCGGCCAATCACTTTTAGAGAAATGAGCGCATTGCAGCAGAATGCGCTGACGTCAAAGACCACCCCTTCTGCGCCTTTATATAAACCCCACCCAGCCAGCCCCTAGCGCAGAAGACGAAGAGCTGGAATAGAGCTCGCCTCGGCTCTGCTGGCCTTGGCTGCAGCTCTTCCAGAGACCCGGGGCATCCACAGAAGAAGCTGTTACCTGGTGAGTGGTTGGCCATCCTTTGCCTAGAAGGATGCGCAAAAATGAAGACGACATCTCCTTCTGGCTTCGGCTCTGTCCTCCTGGACCTGCCGAAAAGCCAGTGCTGGGGACCTTCTCCCAAAGGCAGCCCCTTACTTAGCCTGGTCCCCAGCATCTGACACGAAATTCTGTCAGGAAAAAAATCCTCAGGCACATTTTCCTTTGCGGGGGGGTCCACTAGGGCTTTTTTCTCACTTAAGACTGCGTAGCAGAGACCCTAATTAAGAAAAACGGCAATAATGAGATATTTTCCGCCCAAATCCAGTGTATTTTGGTTTCTGGGGTCTAAAAACCTGATTTTGGCGGTTCAAAGCCCCCTTTAGAGCCACATTAATGGTGGGAGACATGGCGGCGATGAATCCCGCAAGCCCGATAAAATAGGGAGGGGGTACCTGAAAAGAGGGGTCTTGAGCCATTTTTTTTTCTCTCAGCCTTTAGCCAGGTTCTCGGTGGATCGTGGGCGTAAGATTTAGAGATTCATGTTCACCAGCAATTCCGAATCCAGATACGCGGGTTTAGTATAGACCTGACCTCAGGAAAAATATAGGGAAAAAAAAATGTAGCCATTACAGTCCGATTCCTGACGCAGCCACTTTAACAGTGGAAAGAGATGATGTCAAAGGCAAATCTGCCCGGAGACCCCCAGACTATATAGGAAAGGCTGCGGTCGACGCCAGGGTCAAGAAATCGGGGGCGCAGGGAGAATAGATGTGGGAGGGGGGCTGGGGTAGAAAAAAAAGCCATGTCCTTGCGTCTCATAGGAAGGAAAAGAGAAATGCGCAAAAGGGGGTGTGTGGAGGTGGGGGGGTGAGCTATTGGGAATTAGGAGGCAGGGTTCTTTTCAGCATTGCGCATTATGGCTGCGGCTAGATTCTGACGTGTTGAAGGCTTCTGACTTTTGGTAAATCACCTTTTGCCGTTTCCTTTGTCCCTGTCAAGCCCCCCCAGCCGCCCCCTCCTCATCCTGAGCTGGCTGGTTGAGGGGGGGGGGCGCCTGTGGGCTGCTACGTGGCAGGTTTCTAGAATGTTCTATTGATGGCCGCAAGAGGGCGCTGGTGGCACTGCGGAATTTTGGGGGGCGGGGTGGGGAGGAGAGAGGAGGTGGCCTTTGTTCTGTAGGAGGGGGTCGAGCGCGAGATGGGCTGCGGGACCGTGGGTTCCATTTACCTAAGGGCAAATGTTAGTAGATACGTGGATTGACTGAGGTGCGCTTGCAGGATTCACACAGGTCAGAGATGGCGTCATCTGCAGTGGCTGCATGATTTAGCATGTCGTGGACGCAGATTAATTTATTTTCATTGATTTTTTTTTCTGGGGGGGGTCTTAGAAAGGTGTGGCTTTTTGATGAAGGAGGATTGCAAAAACGTTAATTAGGCGTCATCCTTAAGGGTCTTGAGAGTTGACGTGGCAAAGGGGGGTCAAGATTTTGGGGAGAAGGGTGTTGATCGAGGGGGGGTGAGTCAGGGTGGTCTGCCTTTATTTTGTCATATAGCTGAAGACCTGAAAAAATGAGTATTGCGTATTAAGAATTGAGTCTTTGAATTTTAATTATGTTTAATTGGATTTACTAATGGTGGGGGGGCAGCGTTCTGCTTTTACTTATCAGGAGTAGAATTGTGGTCTGGGGGCCAGCCCCTTACTGCAGGGTCTTTGGTGCAAGGCGGCTCCTAGAGGCTTGTGAGTGTGCTGCGTCATGTCTGGAAAATGGCTCTGGCTAGTGGTATATGGGAGAGGCGATGGGGGTGCATAGCGACCCTTAAAGATGGCTGGCGTGGGCTATGCCCCCCTTCTTCCCTTCAGCCTGAAACCTGTTGGCACCCTCCCCCCTCCTACGTCAGTCTAGCTCTAGCAGCTGCGCCCTGGAGCTGGTGGGGGGGGGTGCCTCAGGTGGTTGGGCTATTGAAGTCTTGGTGCGGGCCGAGCGCCCCCTAGCGGTCTTCATGTGCAAATGGTTCTTGGTCCTCTAGACTAGCGCTAGGCTTGCGCATGCGCACACAGCTAACACTTGTGACCTGTCAATCAATTCATCTGTACCCCTCCCATTGCTGTCCTCTCCTCCCATTTCTCCTCCTACTTCCCCGCCCATTTTTACTTTCCCTCCTCCCCCTCCCATTTCTTTTTCTCCCTCCTTCCCCCTCCCATTTCTTCTCCCTCCTCCCCCTCCCATTTCATCTCTCCCTCTTTCCCCTCCCACTTCTCCCCTATCTTCCCCCT